CATAAAACCAAAGCACATTTGTGGGTTGCAAGGTAAAGTGATGATGGATATACTATAAAATATACAAGAAAAAGGAAAGTTACAGCTAGTGGTAACGAACTTGATTTAGGAACTTGATTAAAGCTGCACCACATTCTCGATTTTTCAAAATACATTCTTTTTACTAATCGTATATAGTAAAAGCAGCTTACTACGCTAGTAATCACCCCAAAAACAGCTAGAAGGTATTGAGAAGAGCTAACAGCAGCAAAAAAAAGTGCAGCTTTGCTGTAAAACCCTGCCAAAGGGGGTATACCAGCAATAGAAAACATGGTTACAGCCAAACTAAGGGCTAACAATGGATTGGTGCTTCCTAATTGTGCCAAGTCAGTAGTGTATTTTACTCGTTGCACCCAGGGGTTTAGTGATACCGATGATGAGGCATCATGCCTAGAAAGATTTAATCAAATAATAGCAAAAAGATTAATAGTCATTACAATGTAAACAGCAAGAGAAATCAATAGTGCCTGTATTCCCTCTACAGTACCACAGCAAAGACCAACTAATAGGTACCCCACATGGCCTATAGAGCTGTAAGCTAGTAACCTTTTAATTTGATTTTGAGACATGGCTGCTAATGCACCTAAAACCATGGAGGCTAAACTGCAAAAAATGAGTCTTTTTTGCGGAAACATGAAAAAAAAACTAGAAAGAAAAACACGAACCAATACACCAAATAATGCAATTTTGGGGGCAATAGAAAAGCGGTAACTGCTGTGGGAGCACCCTCATAGACGTCTGGCGCCCACATATGGAAAGGAACCGCCGTGCATTTAAATAAAAGACCTACCAAAAGCAAAATCATCCCCAATTCACATCCCCTTAGTGAATAAACCAAGCTTTGGAAAGCATCAACACCTATAATTTTATGCCCCTGTTCCATAAAGGGAATAAGCGGCTGTGGTTCCACATTCGAAAATTTTTCCTAATTGCCCAAACTCCGTACATCCCGTAAAACCGTAAATTAAGGAACAGCCAAAAAGGAGCAACCCAGAAGAAAACGACCCCCACAAAAAAGATTTTCAACCCGCTTCGCTTGAGAATTCGGAATTGCGTTTCAACGCTGCCATGACATAAAAGCATAAGCTTTGCATCTCAATAGCAAGGTACATAGAAATCAAATCCGAGGAAGCTATAAGAAACAACATGCTGCACGTAGACAAAAGAACAAGAATAAGGAATTCAAAGGAATTCAGGCCTTCCTGTTGTATATAATTTAATGAGATGCATACCGAAAAGATCGCACCCAACAAAAGCATACATCTTAAATCAAAAGTAGAATCATCATACACCAAGCTGTTATAAAAGATACAACCAGAATGAAGGGGTGCACTACTCATTAACAAAAGGGCAATAAAGAAACTGCCCAATGTTAACCAACTAACATTGCTAACAAGAAGAGGATACCCTTTCTTTGCAGATGTACTACCAATAACTCCATAAACAAGAAGTCTAATCGAGGCTATTACCAAAAACAGCTCTGGTAAAACAGCTTGAAAATCGTTTTCAAACAAAATTGTAGTGAAATCGCTAGAAAACATAAAACCAGGATGAGCCACTCCCATTCCCCAGCTACCCATGTCAGATGAATACATTATACTTTTCTCTTACAATTTTTCCCCCAATTGAACACTATCCTCAGGTTTAAATGTCTATTTCATAGTAAACTGGTTGCATAACTTCGTTATGCACGGCAAGTGGTTGCTTGGTGTTTCCATCACGAAATGATGGAAACATTTTGTTCTCATACCAAACATTCCAAGGCCACAAGATAACAAGATAAACTAAGAAAATTCAACTATTCTGAGTGTAAATAGCATTTTCATGATGAAATGATGGAAGGGCTATTTACAGCGAGATCAATTTGCATTCTGCAGGATTTGAACCTGCGGCCAACAACTTAGAAGGGTGTCGCTCTAATCCAACTGAGCTAAGAACACAGTTTATGTTTGAAATTAGAAGGCAAATTTGGGGATTGTGTGCATAACTTTGTTATGCTTACCCCGTAGGGGTATGGCCTTTGTTCATCAATTTCGTGCCAAAAGCACGGCTTGCATAACGAAGTTATGCTTCCATCACTTTGTGATGGAACTCCTTTGAATTAACAGGAGTGTAAGAACCACATGTTCTAATTAGATCCTGCTGGTCAAAAGCCGGGCACAATAAAAACCATCCATCACTCCCCTTTAGATACCAAGTGCCTAAGGGGGAGTGAGCATAGTGTAAGAAATTGCTGCTCACTATCGGACTTGAACCGATAACCCAAAAAGGGAACAGATTTGAAGTATATAGTGTTTACCTATTTCACCAAGTGAGCCCCTTTAGGAATGTTTGGGCATACTTATCACCAATTGAATCTTGCAGATATTTGGTGGGTATGCTTGACTTGCATAACAAAGTGATGCACCAGCTTCGCAAGCCCTACGGGGTATCCCATTTATTGCTAAACAGCTCCGCTCCCCTTCGGACGTGTGTTTTTATGTTTGATACACAACAGGGAGAAAACACCACCATTTATG